ATCCATCCATCCATGCAACCATCCATGCAACCATCCATCCATCCATCCATGTAACTATCCATCCATCCATGCAACTATCCATCCATCCATGCATCCATCCCTCCCTCCCTCCCTCCCTCTTCCTTTTTGGTGCTCATATCCAGCAGTCACTGTGCGAGAGGCGGGGGACACCTGGACAAGTCTCCAGTCCATCACAGGGACATAAGAGTCAAACGAGACAAACAACCATTCACTCTCTCTCTCTCACCTAGGGACAATTTAGAGTCACCAATCAGCCCAACATGGATGTTTTTGGTCTGTGGGAGGAAACTGGTGTACCCGGAGAAAACCCGTGCAGCACGGAGAGTACATGCAAACTCCACCCAGAAAGGTCCTGGCCGGGATTGGAACCGGCAATACAAACGCGCTAGCCAAAATGCTACAGACGTACTGCTCTGCTCCGCTAACCATCCTCCCCACGTTGACAATTACCGGCAGCAACATAGCACTAAGCTAGCAGGTGGGCAACACAGACGTGAGGCCCCCCGACAAAAAACAAAACAAAAAAAAACACAAGCTCCCCGCCAGCGGAGCTGATTTAGAGGAAACACTGAATACGTAGTGTTAACTCGGATACGTACAGTAAATGTTTTTTTGTCTGAACACAGCCGGTAACACGGCTGGTAATAAATACAGTAAACTACCAGGAAGTCCCCGATCGTTATCGTCATCTTCCTCCTGCTCGCTCCACTGGCAGCAGAGCAAAAGTTGCTCTTTGCATGCAGGGGAGTCCCACCTCACGGGGAGGGAGGGGGAATCCCCCCCCCCCTTCTCTCCCCCTGTCCCCCCTTTCATGGTCAAATTTTTTTTAACCTTTATTTATACAGGTAGTGAGTCACGAAGACCCATCCTCCAAGAGAGTCGTGTACTGGGCAGCTCTGTGAGCACCCGGGTGTGACGACGCTAAATGTTTGAAGCCCGTTAATAAAAATCCATAAATTGTTTAAGCTGCGGGGTTCAAAGGCTGTGAAAAAAGTAGCAGCTTACAGTCCAGAAATGACGGTACTGTATACGTGAATGTAATGTTCGGTGTTTTAACTCGTCCTCACCGTGTCCTCTCTGCTGGGCCTGGTCCCTGCCGTGGTGGCGCTGGTGACCTGCGGCTGCAGGGACAGCAGGGTGTCGAACAGAGTCCTGCTCTCGGCGATCTGGCTTGCGATGTCAGCGTTGGGGTGCTGGCCGAACACCTCTGGATGCTCGGTGGACGGCAGCTTGGTGATGTGGTTCTGGTGCGCTGAGTGGGAGTCCTCGGTGGGTATATGATAGGTGGGTAGAACTGATAACCTGAGATATAAAAAACAATGAAAGACTTAATAAAAACACGAGCAAATATTTGCCGTTTGCTTCTGAATACAGAATACTACTAAGACTGTGTTGTGAGACTAGCGGTTAAAAGCCAACAACACATTTTTAGGAGTATTTATTTCCTTGTAACACAAGAACTCACGACCTGCTTTCTCTGTACAGGTTTTCATCAAACCAAACAATAATCAAGTGTAGAATAAACAACGACTGTTGTATCGCAAATTACAAAAAAGCTCAAGTGTTAGTGCAGTGAGGACAGTAAAATGATGGTTTTGCTGGGCTCAGATGCAATACTTTGAGCAGAGCTGACAACAAACCAGTGTTTTTACGTGCACAAATGTAATGCTTAAAGTGTCTTTGGTAAACGTTTGCATGGTCTTTTTAAAATTCATAAGTAATGAGAAAGAGAACAAAAGATAACAGGTGATCAGTGCTGGTCTCGGTGTAATATTCTGCTTGTCCTCTTGGTGGTGCTAGCGCTCTGTTCACGGCGAAGAGTTTCCATCAAGAAAGAACCGCATCACCTTTAAAACATCTGCTTTGGACATAAATACTTAATAAGCCAAATTATGAGAAGAATAATTTAAAATTCAAACATTTCTGAGCATCAGATAAATAAGGAGGTGGTCTTACTTGAAGTGCGGCTGGTTGATGGCAGCGTCACAGAAGTAGTCGTTGATGTAGGTGGTCAGAAGGCGTCGGTCCCAGTCGTCGGTGACGTGACCACCGTAGCTGACGTCGGCGATAAGGTACTTGAGGGCGTCCCAGGGAATCTCCTTGTATTTATCCAGATACAGACAGAGCAGATTCTCACTCACCTAAAGGAGAACAGGACCTTCAACTTGACTTTAAAGAGACAGGAACACAAAGGACTTGTGGAAGGTGAAATATTTCTATTGTAGAGGGGGTGGAAACGACAGAGAGAAAGGCTGTTGGATTATTGTGTGAACGTTTATGAAGATACA